ACACACACACACACACACACACACACATACCGTATGTGGCGGCAAAATGTTTGACTGGTTAGCACGTCCACTCCACACTGCAGAGGTTGGGAGTTCGAATCCAGCCCCGCCCATACCTGTGTGGGTTTTTTTTCTGGGTACTCTGATTTCCTCCCTCCTTCCAAAAACATGCATGGCAGGTTAATGGAACAATTGTTCATGGTCCCTTGGTGTGACACTGAGTGAGAATGGTTGTTTGTCTAAGTGTGCCCTGTGATTGGCTGGCGACCAGTTCAGGTACTGGTTACAGGGTACCAAAGACAGCTGGGACAGGCTCCTGGATGAGCGGATCAAATAATGGATGGATGGATGGTGACTTTTAATGACACTGTCACCGAACTGCTTGTTGTCGTTGTCATTTGCACTGGGCAGCATGCCAGACTTACTGTTTGCTGTGTTTTCTGCGAGCACTCTAGCATCCACCAACATTTCGTAAACATGAATGTTCGGTTCCCTGAAAACTACCCATGAGAGTTTGAACGCCTGTTTGTCCATATGTGCCCCGCTATTGGCTGGTCACCAGTCCAGAATCAGATGGTATCTGCTTCGGTTCACCTGCCAGCCTACTGTAGAGAAAATGAAATCAAATTTCAGCCTTTACGTGTTTGCATGTCAATCTACTCTTCCTCGAGTCTTCACGATCACTTGTGCTGGCTTCAGCTATATTAGCGATGGGAGTGTTTCGTGAACCAATTTGATTTCAAATTCATCCTCACAGGGTCAACGCGCTGGCCCTTAATGACATCAACATTTTGATGTGCACTGTTTGGTTGGTCAGAACAAAACTTGTCATAGCCAACTATGACGAAGAAAGCACACGTTCATACATTTTATAATCAGCACCTCTGGTGGGTATGACGCAACTCATTGATTTGTTTTGTCATGTTATGAGATATATATTGATTTTAAACTGTCCAGATGGTGTATGTTGCACTGTTTATGCTGCTATATTGTGTTTTTGTACATTATTGATCCTTTGAAAATTGAATTAAAGTGGATTAATTCTGTTTAGTTCCCGCTTAAGATCCAGACATCGACCAGGTTTTCTCCTTTACTGTTCCGACTGTGGACCCAAACATGAAGTTAAAGCCAATTTTTAGATCACATTTCACACCTCACCATTTTACATCTATTTGGTTTCACTCTGATGACCAAATGTTACTACAACCTGCTCCATGATGAAAGCAACTTTCACACCCCTGCACTAGTAGGAGCGGCTGAAGTCTTTTTTTAGCTTCTTCAAGTGAGTCACTAGGCGGCCATTATTCTTGCAACAGTCACTCTACGTGTTGAAACAATCCCCGGGGGCAACCGCAGGCAGGTGTGTTAAGTGTATAAAAGAGGCGCTACAGATTCACCTGAGCATTTCCTTCAAGCAGCAACACTCAAGAGAACGTCATTTGAATTTTGGACATGGTGTCAGTGGGCTTCCAGATGCTTGGTGCCGCACTTTGCGGCCTGGGCTGGATCGGGACCATCATTGTTTGTGTCCTACCCCAGTGGAAGGTGACGGCCTTCGTAGGCCACGCGATTTTGACAGCGCAGACCATATGGGAGGGCATCTGGATGAACTGCGTGTTTCAGAGCACGGGACAGATGCAGTGCAAGGTCTACGACTCCCTCCTGGCCCTGAGCGCAGACCTCCAGGCCGCCCGGGCCCTGATCGTCATCTCCATCCTGCTTGGCGTGCTGGGGTTGCTGCTGTGCGTGATGGGCGGCAAGTGCACCAACTGCGTGCAGGACCAGGGCACCAAAGTCAAAATCTGTGTGGCATCCGGCGTGGTCTTCATCCTGGCGGGGGTGCTGTGCCTCATCCCCGTGTGCTGGACAGCCAACAAGATCATCAGGGACTTTTACAACCCGCTGTTCCCGTCCAGCTCGAAGAGAGAGCTGGGGGCCTCCCTGTTCATCGGCTGGGGGTCCTCGGCCCTGCTCATCATCGGCGGCGTTCTCCTGTGCGCCAACTGCCCGCCCAAGGACAACTACAACCCCAAGTACCCGCCTAGCCGAGCGTCTGCACCCAAAGACTACATTTGAGTGGTGTCCAGGATTTCACCAGTGGCCACTTGACAGCCTGCACCTGCCGACTACCATTTCATTGTTGACTGTAAAGTAGCCAATGTTTACATTTCTCTTTCGTTTATCAATTCCATGTTTTTGTACACTCAGTTTCATTTCTTTGGTTTGGATTATTGTGTAAATAAAATGTCATAATGATTGTTCCTTACTATTGTTTTTTTTTTTTTTTTTGCTCTATATTATAGCACAATTGAAAGCGATCAATGACTAGAATTAACCACGAGACCAGTGGTTCTCAGAATTTTTATTTACTCCAAGTGCCACCTCAAATTTGGATCTACAAATACCACCAGAAAGACCAAAATCAAAATACAGTTGCATAGTCAGCCCAAATGTTCATCTCCATAAAAAAAATATCGAGGTCCTATACACTATAGCTTTACCAAAAATTTAACTTAATACTCTCAATTCACAAAATATTCCCTAAACGTTACCTCAATATTAAAAGTTAATTAAAAATCAAAAAATCTTGTATACTTTTTTGGTATATTGGCCACGTCCCGCAAAAAAAAAAAAACAAAAACAAAAAAAAATGCTTGAAGTGACAATATTTGTACAGTATTTGAAATTTGGGAGTTGTCAGTAGTTTATGATTTTGCACCGGGCTCTTAATTTTCAGATTTATTCAATTTTCACACACACATACTGTATATGGCAGCACAATGTTTGACTGGTTACCACGCCCGCTCCACACTGCAGAGGTTGGGAGTTCGAATCTAGCCCCGCCCATACCGGTGTGTTATTTTTTTTCTGGTACTCTGGTTTCCTCCCTCATTCCAAAAACATGCATGGCAGGTGATTGCAACAATTGTTAATTGTCCCATGGTGTGACGGTGAGTGAGAATGGTTGTTTGTCTCAGTGTGCCCTGCGATTGGCTGGCGACCAGTTCAGGGTACTGGTTACAGCGGGGGTCGGCAACACGCGGCTCTTGAGCTGCATGCTGCTCTTTAGCTCCATCTAGTGGGTCCCTGGAGCTTCATAAAAAATGTTTGAAAATGGAAAAAGATGTGGGAGGGAAATTAATTTTTTTGTTTTAAATATGGTTTCTGTAGGAGTAAAAACATGACACCAACATTTTTAACGTTTCCCAATGCTGTAAATTGAATTGAATTGAATTGAATTGAATACAACTTTATTGTCAAATGTGCTGTAC